ATTAATGTGAGGCGCCCGTATCTGAAAAACAGACAGACGAAGAACCGTAATCACTATAGTTTCAAAAGTTGGGAGGAATAAATGGATGGACGATTAATGTTGGGAAAAAAAAAAAAAAAAAAAAAGTTAGTAAGGGGAGAATAAGGAAACAGTGAAACACCACGAGAGGAGGGGGAAGTACCTGAACGGGTAAATTGTGCACAAAGGGAGGAAGGCAGTCCCTAACGGCTAATGGCGGATGTGGTATTCTAACAGTGCTTCAGTCCTCGGAGAAGCAAAAACCTACAGCATAAGGGGAAAAACATCATCAACGAGAAACAATGACCCCTTCAGAGCTCAAACGTTAAGAACCCTGTAGCAGAATGCTGACATGAGAGAAGCGCTACGCTGGTAGTGAGTTGGTAGGATCTGGGTAGCTATTGTGAACAGTGTTGGTGGGGGGGGCAGGGCTGTTTCCAAGGACGGCATAGCAGGCGCTGAAAAAGGACCGCATCTATGGCATTAGGCATTGCCCTTGTCTCCTCACTTCACTGAGGAGACGACGGCCACGGAATAGCATGGCCCTGGGGAAAAGATTTAAGAAAAAGAAGAGCCAACTACGCCGCGAACGAAAATGAGTTCCGAATAGGAAAAAAAAACATGCAGTACCCGCAGGTCACTCACGCACCAAGTTCAAAAAGGCAACAAAGGCATCATGAAAGTTTCTGGTAAGCGCTGAGATGTCATTTTTACAGGGTCGGCCCGTGGTGTGCAGAGGGACGGAGTTTTGCTTATTGCGAACTCCCACCGTGACAAAACTGCATTTAATTTTAGTGTTTTTTTCCCTATTCGAAACTTAAACCATGACTCAAAGGAAGTTCCGAGTAGTGTCTTTGGACCACGTCCACCTCCTCCAGACACATTCGAACTGATGGAACCAGCATTTGTGATGTCTGAAGACCGTAACTCCTCCCACGTATACTTAGAAAGTTGCCGAGCAAGTCCCATCATTATGTCAGTTCGAGCTTTCAGTTTCTTTTATTCATTTGTTTTCTGTTTTTTTCTTGATTAGTTACACCGGAAGTATGGGACAGAGACATGGGACGGGAACCGCGGGCCCCTCGCCACATGGACTCCGGCCTCCTATAACTCAGAGTCAGAGGCTGCATCCCGTGAAAGGGGAGGTCGGGAGAGCAGTTCAGGTCAATCACTCCCTCCACCTGATTTGCCTTCTGCATGTCAGTGTACTGGGATTCAAGAAGCAACCCACCCACCATGTTTACTAAGTTACCTCATGGACAGATCTTAAAAGCAGTTTTTTTTTAAAGACAAAGGGCACTACTGGATCCGTATCAAGAAAAAGGGGAAGAAGGCCACGTTTGGAAAGTCCCACGGTGAAACAGGATGGAAATCGCTGAGGCTGTCAGATCTGATGACTTTGACAAAGTTTCAGCTTGATAACACCGCCTTCTATTCAATGACGCAGATTCTGAAACAGAATACTGGACTTCCTATGGGGGGGAGGGCGAGCCCTCCTCTTGCAAACGTACTATGCATTTATGCGGAGCACAAGTTTGTCACTTCTTTGGGTGCTGATGCGAAATACATCAACGGAGGCAGATTTATTGATGACCTACTGTTGTTTGGCTGGTATGATGAGAAAAATGTCGGCGGGGCTGGAGCTGATTGAACTAACCCTCGACAGGATTGGGGAATGCTATCACAAGGACTTGGTGCTGGAGAGGACGGACCGTAGGAATGGAATCGTCGAATTCTTGGAAACTAGATTAATTGTGACGAAGCAGCCAGCCTGGATCTTCAGTTTTCAGAATTTCAAGAATCTGGACACAATCTGGGGTGGAAGAACGGGCCACTTCAGAACACTACGGAGTATTGATTCGTATGCTCCCCTGATCCAGAAATTTGGAACAATATCCAGCACCATCTGCAGGATCATTGACAACACAAATACCAACTTCTCGCTATGGTGGAGTCTGGTGACTTTCATGAAGGAAATGAGGGTAATCGGGTACCCCAGGAAGTTATTTGAAGCCGGACTGGCAAAGATGGGAAAGAGGGAAGGCACTCTTTTTTGGAGATCTCAAAGTTTTGGGAATGGGAGGAATATTGACGAAGGAGTAGGAGGGTGGGATAATCAGAGGTGAGGAAGGGGGGAAAGGGGTTTGTTGTGAGGGGAGGGAGTGAGGAGTAGGGAGCCTAGGCCCCATATGCATTTGAATGAAAATGTAGTGCAGGTCGGTGCGTATGAGTAGAAAGTGAACAAGACGTGAACGGGTATTTTTTAGTTATTTCTTCAGCATTCTCGGATGGCTGTCATGCCAAATTTAATAATCTTGACTGCATTTTTTTTTTCGGAGGCCTGTTCCTTTTCCGATGGGACCCGGCAACGGTAAATTCGGAAGATTTTCTGGTAAATTCGGAAGATTTTCTGGCCTTCGGTTATTCGTAGCATTTTTTTGTAGGAGCGGCACTGGCCTTCGGTTATTCGTAGCATTTTTTTGTAGGAGCGGCACTGGACCAGTGACCGTGACTAGATAAAAGTAAGTTTGTTGGGAGTTGATCTCCTCTTAGCCTGAGCAGCAGGACAGAAGGGCTGAGCGTTGCCTCCTGCCCCAACCATGGTGGTCAAGGATGGGGTGGGGCCGCCGGTGGGGGTCCGGCTAACGCAAAGACCTAGCATTTTGCCAGTAGCTGCGCCTCCCTGTTCATCGTCCCCCACCCCCAACCAAATAACAGCAGTGTCTAAGGCCAACACTCTCCCACACACCACACACAACCCACTCACACTCACACTCAAACTCGCACCCGTGTTGGCCAAGGACCCTGCTAATACCGATCAGAGGTATCAAGCGGACTATCATCGCTGGTTGGTACTAAGTGCGCCGCACGCTGTTGTGGGGCACGAACCCACAACCTCCTGAATGCCACTTGCATGCCTAACCAACTGAGTTAGGCGGCTGGATAGGGCCAACTCTAGGCTGCTCGCGGCTCTCATTCATTGAGCCAACCTATCTTGCTTTCAATTTTATTTATTTATTATTATTTTTTTTGCTTTCAAATTTTAATTTCTTCATTTTATTATTTTAGTAGTGTTTTCGGCCAGTTCTGCTTCTTTTTTTTTTTTTGTTTTGGACCATTTCTCGATTTATGCTGATAATTTCTGGACGGAATTCTGTTTTTGGAAAGGGATGCTGCACGCGGTTTCCAGCTTTTT